TGTTTTTTCAGTTTTCTCTTCGAACTCCTTCGAATGCTTTCCCCTTGACGCCGTTGCCTGAAACACAAAATATTTGTAAGGATTTTTTTTAGCAAGTTAGTTATCAATATGTCATTTTATGGGGACATAAACAGTTGATAATTGTCCTTCAAATAAATCTAAACTTTCTAATAAGTCTCATCAGCTAAACTTCCAATGATCTAACCTGGAGGGCCCTGGCTCATGCTGATTTTCAGGAGTTTCAGCAGGGGAGTTGGGTGGTGTCTCTGACTGTAGCAAAGCACTGGCCCTGTTTCTGGCTCTGGCTTGACTTTTTGCCTCTCTCCATTTCTTTCTTTTTGCCCTCTTCTCTCTCTCACTGAGCTCATTGACACCCTTCTTCTTTCCAGTCTCTCTGTCTTTTTTCCATTTGACCCTTTCTTTCTCAAGGTACTTTATTCTTCTGTCTGGGTCAGCATCACGACGTTCCCGATATCTCCTTGCTATCTCAGCTCCTTTTGATCTCATTCCTTGAAAAAGACGATTCAAAATGTTCCCTTACACACTTTAATTGGCAGTCCCGGAAAACTAGGCTTGCATTATCAAACTAGGTTTGCTGATACCGATATCGCCAAAAAAATTGTCCATATTGTCCATTCTTACTATGTATAGCATGTACTGTTATAAAATGTGTGTAATAGCTGTTGTAATATGTGTAACATTATCAGTATGTGGCCTAAACTATGCACATGTCCTTCCTGTCATGAACCATGTCCACCCTATCATGGAAGGCTTGCTGACAGGGTGGACAATGACAGGGTGGACATTTTTGGCTAATGTTAGCATTTAATGAGCACATGGTGGACCTTCACTTAGCAACATACTACAGTTAGCAAGCTGACTGTGTACTGTTTTACAAATATATTTCAAAGTTCTGATAGGTTTTTCTATCAATTGATATTTCACTATGACAGAGTGGACATGTTAAGCTTGACAACATCCAACTACACACATAATATGATGAAAATTATGAAACATAAGTGTAAATACTTACTCTGCAACTAGACACTGCTTCAGCCTTCATTGAAGAAAGACAAAATGCTCGTAGTGATGTCACTGAAAACATCAGTGGGTTTCTTAAAGGGGCAGTTACCCCATAATGACAGGGTGGACAGCAATTTCAGGGACACATGCAAAATGTTCAATATGATTATGAAAATACAATATACATGATCAAAATTACTTGTTTTATCAAATAACTTATTGTGGACAGTAAAACCATGTAAAAAAAAAAATGGATTTAGTATCATTTAACCACTTATTACACACACTGTAGTTAGCAGAGCAGTGTGTGGGACATGCCAAAATCACGTACATCCAATGAAAAACATTTAATAAAATGAAGGAAACACTTTTTTAGAGACTTATCATTCTACTGATATGTGTGCAAATGTTTGGCCTCAGACTTTCATTATTCTGCTACATTTTCATGATGACTGAGTGAGTCTGATGAGGACACCAAAGGCACCTCACAGTGATACTGACTCACCTAGACAATCCCAGCGGATCAAAAGCCATTAGCCTTCCTCAGTGTCAGCTGTGCAGTGACTGGACCGAGTGTTCTGCTCCTCATCAAAAGCCTGTGGAAAATCATTCTTCAGAGACTCAGAGAAACCATCAAAGCAGACAGTTGTGTGGGTAAGCACCATGTGTTCAATAAAGGACGTATATTTATTATTGTTCCCCAAGGTGATGTAGATGTATCAAGGACAGATCTGCTAACTTGTCTAGGTGAGCAGTGGGTAGATAGAGCCAGGTTAACATCATTTTGATTGAAAATTAGGATTAGATGCTGCAGGGAAGTGAGGATGTGTAGGACATTTTTTCACATATAGTCCTCTTTAAAATAGAAGATTTCAGTCCTCTTTAAAGTGAACTCAAAGCAAAATAACTCAAGTTATTTTGTATTCACACTGACCTTGCCTTTGAATGAGGACTCAACTCTTTTGCCAGTTCACGTCTGTAAGTGTAGCGGGTGATTTGGACGGAGTGAGGCGCAGGAGGGTAAAATCACAAAATAAATGTTTTATTCGGCAAATGGTTTATCCTCAGTAGCCTATTGGGAAACACAAGCAGTTCTTATTTGCGAAATCGCCTCGCTATTCATGTTGAATAAATTAGTCTGTTAATTTGAACTAAGCAAACTGCTAAATCGTTCAGTTTACATGTAGCCTACATCTTGTCTAGTTCACTGTAGACCATCTGAAATTAGATGCAGGCCTATTAGGAGCTAAAGGCTACCTGTCTTTATCCAAGCAAAATTGAATTACAATCATAAACCCAGATTTTTGTCTGTAGCTGGTGTCTATTGAAATGACAAGCCAGTCTCGCAAATGGGCCATTTATAACGGTCTGTAGTCTTAACATCTGGCACATAATAACAGCACAATTGCCAGAAACATTCATTTTATTTTATGGTCATCAAGTGTTTCTTGCTCAGAGATTTCGAGATCCTCTGTCCAACTTTCATCACTCAAACTCTCCTGTCGGATTTATCTATAGGTATACACATGCGCAAAGGGGATTTATTTACAATAATAAACCTGGTTTGAGACCTGAATGCTGATAGGCTAAAAGCCGTGGTACAATATATCCGACCATATACCACAGGAATGACAAAACATTACGTTTTACTGTTCCAATTACGTTGGTAACCAGTTTATAATAGCAATAAGGCACCTCGAGGGTTTGTGGTATATGGCCAATATACCACGGCTAACAGCTGTATCCAGGCACTTGCGTTGCGTCATGCTTAAGAACAGCCCTTAGCCATGGTATATTGGCCACATACCATACCCCCTTGTGCCTTATTGCTTAATCATAGCAGTTTTTTAATTTATTTTATTTATTTAACCTTTATTTAACCAGGTAAGCCAGTTGAGAACAAGTTCTCATTTACAACTGCGACCTGGCCAAGATAAAGCAAAGCAGTGTGATTAAAACAACAACACAGAGTTACATATGGGGTAAAACAAAACATAAAGTCAAAAATACAAACAGAAAATATATATACAGTGTGTGCGAATGTAGTAAGTTATGGAAGTAAGGCAATAAATAGGCCATAGTGCAAAATAGTTACAATTTCGTATTCACACTGGAATGATAGATGTGCAAAAGATGATGTGCAAATAGAGATACTGGGTTGCAAATTATAAAAAATAAATAACAATATGGGGATGAGGTAGTTGGGTGGGCTAATTTCAGAATGGCTGTGTACAGGTGCAGTGATCGGTAAGCTGCTCCGACAACCAGTCAAATAAGTTAAATCGACATCCATTGATGGAAAATGATCTGGCGAGTTTAATAAAAGCAAATTATATTTTCTCTTGCCACATATTCAATTTCCTTTATTATGTCATGTCATTACTTGCAATTATTATGATTTTGAGGAAACCCGCATTTTGCTACTAACGTCATTACAAGTCACTATGATATTCCTTCTTAATTGGCTCGATAATGTTATAGAAAAAGGGTTTATTGTGTAGATATGGGCAACTCCTCTCCTGCTGTGCTCAAAAATTATTGGGCTAGTTTTCAGGGCGGGTTTTGAGTGATCATTGTACTAGAAATTTTAACTTGACCTGGCAACCCTGGTCAGATTGTCAGTTTATGAATTCAGAGCGTCCAGTTGAAGAGTAAAGTTTCCTGAATGTTCTAATCTCACAATGGCAGTCAAGCATCTGGCCTGCTAGCTATCTCCAGACACAAAAGAGAGAACACCCTCACTAAACATTTTTACTTGCCCCTAGCCTATCTGGTTAGACTATCTGAGTATATTTTCATGTTATTTAGTGGCATAGTGACTAACTAGGCGGCAACAATTTAGTTCAGTTTTAGTCGATGTTTACTGCCACCTGTTGTATTTAACTGGTGTCGTCATTTATAAATTCATCAAATATTCTACACTTTGTGACACTCTATTAGGGTATGAGTGTCACCTCGTACCCAGGCTATTGCAATCAGCGTTTATAAACCTGGGATATCAACAATTCAAAGTTGGCCTTAGAGGCATTGACCATAGAATTCTATGGGAGTGACCTTACGGAGTAAAGTATTTGCGTAATAGCATTTTAGCGAATCACACGACTGCTAGGCGTGGCTCCAAATGGAGGCAAGACACGTATGGAAGACACGTACGGGTGGAGGGTTAGGAGGAAGATGATTGGTTGGTAGATTAAGCCAATGCCTATGCGCCGGGAGATTCTCCTGTTCTTTCTATTTGCTAACGAAGGCCAAGTTTGACACGTTGGTCCACCAGACTCTCTGGGAATGAGATTATGGCAGAGTGTAAGATTTAATTGACACTCCCTTAGGGTTCAAATACAGGTTCTATGGAATGCCCTGTAAAAGAAACAATGTATGTGATGCCAGTATGAAAACTTGGGACGAAGGTCTGTTCCAGAATGTTTCTTATTTTGTGACAACATCACTTCAGAAGATCTGTGTTTGATTTAGAATTAAGATTTTTTAGCAGAGTGCTTTCCAACTATGTTTTGTCTCAAGGTAAGAAAACAATTAAGATTGGGGTAAAATCTACCCCTAATTTCCAGCAATCTATAATTTATTTACTTAATGTTTTAACTTTTGTCCTTAGTTGTGATGTTAAACAAACAAATTCCACTAATATCAATGAATGTTTTGGATTACATTTTTATGTTAAACGACTGATAATGAATGAAAACACTGTTGTCAATGAAGTTTTGCCTTAAAATGAAAATGTTGAGTATGTTATTAAAGGTGAACAGGATCGGAGGGGTGCCATCTCGATAAACCAGCCGTGTCATGTTGTTTTTCTTTATTTGAATGAACAGTTAGGGTTATATTATATTAGTTTCCCTCAGAATGTTTTCCATCCTTTAGCATTCCAATAATTTGTCCTTTAATTTATACTACTGTAATTCTAATAATGTAACAATTTTCCAGGTGCTGTGTGTCGAATTCCTGGTGGCACAATCGTCGCCATGCCATTCTTTGGCATCGTGACCAACGCGGTGATGCTGAACAGCATCAGCATCCTGTCCTCTATCTTCCAGGTGGGCGCTCAGTGTGTTGCGAGTGAGAGGATGCGATTCATAGTGCCCCCGATCATCTCAATAGTCCTCACACTGTCAGGCTACGTGCTCTTCATCCTCAGTTCCCTGCTGGTGAGAGAAGATGGGGAGATGGTCATCTGGATCGGACTGGCAATAGTGGCGACCATCTTTGTTTCACTAAACTGGTGGGAGAACTACAGCACCCTCTTTGAAAGCTCCTTCCTAAACAGTATATCTGAAGACATGGCGAGATCAAGGAATGTGGTGGAGTATCCTCTCCAGTCTGGTCCGGATCCTGGTCACGGCGGCCGTGGTGGGGGCGTACGTCCCTCTGTCTGGCAGAGACTGGACAACGGTGACGTCAGTTCCAGAGAACGTGCGGTTCCTGATCTTGGTGGCCGTCCAGATAGCGTCATCCGCTCTGTGCCATTGGTTCGTGGTGGTGGCCTGCAAAATGCACGCCATGCGGCGGAGCTTCCTTCTACCCATTTACCTGGCCTCCGTAGGTGTTCTGGCACCTTTCATAGCTCCTGCCATTATCTTCTTCCAGACCTCCAGTGACTCCAGAGGTGCTAACTACACCATCACAGAGTACTGCGATGACATCACATATGGCAGGGGCCTAAGCGGCGATGCAGTGTGGTTCGAGAAGCTAGTCAGGGACATCACTCAAACCCTCTGTCCCCAGGACATGACCAACCGAACAGAAATGGGCCTCTTGGGAAGCTCCGCACTCTGCTGGTGGTTGGGTTGGATGCTGTGCACTATGTACATCTGGTTCCTCCAGGATCAGCGCATCGAGAGGACCCAGGACCTGTTTGTGCGGAGGATGTACGAGGGGCCCTTTCTGGAAGCAGTCCACACTGCTCAACACACGTTTTGAGATTCAGAGGAAGAAAAAAATGGTACGTTTATTGAGGATTCTTTGGTGGGTCTGAGGGTTGTTTATGTGTGTGTGGGTGTGTGTGGGTGTGTGTGGGTGTGTGTGGGTGTGTGTGGGTGTGTGTGGGTGTGTGTGGGTGTGTGTGTGTGTGTGTGTGTGTGTGTGGGTGTGTGTGGGTGTGTGTGGGTGTGTGTGGGTGTGTGTGGGTGTGTGTGTGTGTGTGACAGAGAGTGAAGAGTTGTCTTTATGAAGAGTTGTCAGGTTTTTGCAAAATTTTGATTCTAACATTTCCTCCAGCCACAGGCAAGTTGACCCAGACACAGTATATCTGTGTGCGACAATGTGGCATGAGAACTATGATGAAATGATTAAAATTATCATCTCAATATTCAGGTACAGTCTGACGCTTTTACAGAATTGATAGAATTAGCAGCTAGAATACATTTAATTGCAAATCAATACGTCTGTTTCTTTATCAGGCTGGACAAATACAGGCCAAGGAATAACCCCACCAATGATGTGAGCTTCGAGTCCCACATTTACTTTGATGATGCTTTTAAAGACGTGAACGGTGGTAAAGAACGCCGTGTGAACGAATACGCAAGAGGACCTGGTGGAGGTTATCCGAGAGGTTTACAAGTAAGCAGTGCAACAAATCCTCACAAATGATGATCCAACGTGCACAGAATTAACAGCACATATACTTTATTTAATGTATAATCTGTAAAGAAATGAAGACGCATTGTATGATGTCATAACATAGATGTACTAGAAAAAATTAGACATTAACAAGAACATGTCCCCCCCCCCCACAAAGCATCCACATATTCCCATGAAAGCCACCAGGGGATGCTCTGCCCACATTCTCCACCATCTGTAACAAGTTAACTGTGAATATGTGTTTCGGAAGAGTGTGTTTCGGAAGAGTGTGTTTCAGGAGAGTGTGTTTCGGAAGAGTGTGTTTCGGAAGAGTGTGTTTCGGAAGAGTGTGTTTCGGAAGAGTGTGTTTCGGAAGAGTGTGTTTCGGTAGAGTGTGTTTCGGTAGAGTGTGTTTCGGTAGAGTGTGTTTCGGAAGAGTGTGTTTCGGAAGAGTGTGTTTCGGAAGAGTGTGTTTCGGTAGAGTGTGTTTCGGTAGAGTGTGTTTCGGTAGAGTGTGTTTCGGTAGAGTGTGTTTCGGAAGAGTGTGTTTCAGGAGAGTGTGTTTCGGTAGAGTGTGTTTCAGGAGAGTGTGTTTCAGGAGAGTGTGTTTTCGGAAGAGTGTGTTTCGGAAGAGTGTGTTTCAGGAAGAGTGTGTTTCGGAAGAGTGTGTTTCGGAAGAGTGTGTTTCGGAAGAGTGTGTTTCGGAAGAGTGTGTTTCGGAAGAGTGTGTTTCGGAAGAGTGTGTTTCGGAAGAGTGTGTTTCGGAAGAGTGTGTTTCGGAAGAGTGTGTTTCGGAAGAGTGTGTTTCGGAGAGTGTGTTTCAGGAAGAGTGTGTTTCGGAAGAGTGTGTTTCGGAAGAGTGTGTTTCAGGAGAGTGTGTTTCGGAAGAGTGTGTTTCGGAAGAGTGTGTTTCAGGAGAGTGTGTTTCGGAAGAGTGTGTTTCGGGAGAGTGTGTTTCGGAAGAGTGTGTTTCGGAAGAGTGTGTTTCGGAAGAGTGTGTTTCGGAAGAGTGTGTTTCAGGAGAGTGTGTTTCGGAAGAGTGTGTTTCGGAAGAGTGTGTTTCGGAAGAGTGTGTTTCGGTAGAGTGTGTTTCGGAAGAGTGTGTTTCGGAAGAGTGTGTTTCGGAAGAGTGTGTTTCGGAAGAGTGTGTTTCAGGAGAGTGTGTTTCAGAAGAGTGCCTGGAGAAGTGTCTGGAGGAGAACTGGAATGATGGCAAATAAATTATTTAAAAAACAAAGTAGTCCCAGCAGAAAAAAACATGTTTAAAAAAAATAAATAAGGGTAAAACGTTATTGTCTTTAGTTCAAAGTAAGCATAAAAGACTAATGGGACTTTCCATGACATTGTCATCAAGGTAAATGGTCACATCAGGGAATGCATATGGTGGACATCACCTCTGATAGCATACAGGTGCTGAACTGAGGCCAAAGGGCATTCTGGTGTTATGAAAAAATCCCTGCATGCTTCAAAGCAGTGAGGTTGGTTCCTACAGTTGGGGTTCTCAGTGTGCTAATATGTAATTCAATCCCAGCACTGCGAACTCAGTGTACACTGCAGACACGCAGAACAGTACGGGGTGAGAATAATGTCAACTTTCCCTCATTTCATCCTTTCAACCTCAGTATTTTCAATAAGGAGGATTCATGCGTCTTCAGAGAGAGCCCACCCCTCCCGTGCCAGAGGATCCTGCACACCCCTTTACGGAGGTCGACTGAAGTACAACCCTCCCTCATGGCAACCTGCTGATGGTGCACTTTAAGGACGAGCTACTGATCCGCCACGAGAAGAGATGGTCTCAGGTGAGACAATGCTGTCAATATCGTTTACAATGCGTGTGTGAAAGGTCTAACCCTATACACCTTCGATAGTACACATTCACAAGGCTATGAATTCATTTAAATATGATGGACATGAATTGAAGACGGATGATGACGTTTTATTACACACAAAGCAATATATTTATTCAGCTCATTCACTGTTTTGGCCGGTCGTGTACTTGTACGACATTCTCGGCTGGCGACTCACCAGGAAGTATTTCAAGAGGTTAGAGGAGGGTGAAGATGAGACAGAGCCGAAGGAGAGGATGAAGGTCAACATGACAAACAATACAATGATTCCTTCTATGTCTAGAATCCCTACTTGGAGAAATTGTTGTTGTATTATTGTTATATATTACAGTGTAAAGGAGGTGGTGTACCTAATAAACTGTCAGGTGAGTGTATATTACAGTATATAGGGGGTGTACCTAATAAACTGTCAGGTGAGTGTATATTTCAGTATATAGGAAGCGGGACTGATGCTTTTGTATTCTGTTAGAAAGAGAAGGATAACACCTATCTCCTGGCTTTGGATGGGGACACAGACTTCCAGCCATCTGTTGTCATGCTCCTGATAGATGGACTGAAACGCTACCCACACGTGGGAGCGGCATGTGGAAGGATTCACCCGACAGGACACAGGTATGTACAGCCCTCGTGTGAATCGTGCCTTTATAATTAAAGATCAAATTGTCATTGTTATGACAATTTGCTTCGGATAAATCTACGATTTGTAAGTAGCCTATGTCACTAGGTGAGTGGATGGTAGCGAATCGACTTGTTCTTTACGCGCCTCAAACTTGGCAATAGTGGTTACCTTGAATGAATTAATGTTGATCCGTAGAGTTGACTGTAGCAATCCTTTGTGTCTTGTTTGACGTTTCTTGCGTTTTCTTGAATTTGTTTGCTTTGGTTTGATTGCGGTAAGAACGGTGAGCTCTCCCACCATCCACACACAAACAAAACATTCAAACACCTGTGTGTTTAAATCAGTGTGTTCCACCCATTCCGCTCCAGCCATTACCACGAGCCCGTCCTCCCCAGTTAAGGTGTATTTGATACCATTCCACTCCAGCCATTACCATGAGCCCATTCCGCTCCAGCCATTACCACGAGCCTATTCCGCTCCAGCCATTACCACGAGCCCATTATGCTCCAGCCATTACCACGAGCCCGTTCCGCTCCAGCCATTACCACGAGCCTATTCCGCTCCAGCCATTACCACGAGCCCATTCCGCTCCAGCCATTACCACGAGCCCATTCCGCTCCAGCCATTACCACGAGCCCATTCCGCTCCAGCCATTACCACGAGCCCATTCCGCTCCAGCCATTACCACGAGCCTATTCCGCTCCAGCCATTACCACGAGCCCATTCCGCTCCAGCCATTACCACGAGCCCATTCCGCTCCAGCCATTACCACGAGCCCATTCCGCTCCAGCCATTACCACGAGCCCGTCCTCCCGAATTAAGGTGCCACCAACCTCCTGTGGTTTATAGATTACCTTGATTCCTAGATGGCGTAGCAGTGTGGTCGTGTATTGTGTTGTGTCCTCTTGTAAATAGTCAGTTTTTTTCGTATATATTTCTCTCTCACTTTCCATCCTTTAACTAAATATACTTTCCTGCAACCCCCCTCACCCAATGTGGAACGGATTCTATTATTTCTTCATACCTTTTATCAAGAACCCACAGCTAAAACTAGCCAGCTAACTAGCTACTTGCTATTAGCTATTGCCATTAGCCACCGTTAGCGGTCTTCACCACTGTCCGTGGCCTGCACTACCTACCAGCCAGCTCTAGCCTGGACAATTATCGGCCAGTCTGCACAGCGTGCACATTGCGCTATCGAGCTAGAGCATATCGGATTTTCTGCCGGAATCACACTCTACCGAAACACACTCTTCCGAAACACACTCTTCCGAAACACACTCTTCCGAAACACACTCTTCCGAAACACACTCTTCCGAAACACACTCTTCCGAAAAAACACTCTCCCGAAACACACTCTTCCGAAACACACTCTTCCGAAACACACTCTTCCGAAACACACTCTTCCGAAACACACTCTTCCGAAACACACTCTTCCGAAACACACTCTTCCGAAAAAACACTCTCCCGAAACACACTCTTCCGAAACACACTCTTCCGAAACACACTCTTCCGAAACACACTCTTCCGAAACACACTCTCCCGAAACACACTCTCCCGAAACACACTCTTCCGAAACACACTCTCCCGAAACACATATTCACAGTGACTTGTTACAGATGGTGGAGAATGTGGGCAGAGCATCCCCTGGTGGCTTTCATGGCAGAACTAAGAACAGATATAGCCCCTGGTTCACCTCAGACTTGACTGCCCTTGACCAGCACAAAAACATCCTGTGGCGTACTGCATTAGCATCGAACAGCCCACGCGATATGCAACTTTTCAGGGAAGTCAGGAACCAATATACACAATCAGTTAGGAAAGCAAAGGCTAGCTTTTTCAAACAGAAATCTGCATCCTGTAGCACTAACTCCAAAAAGTTTTGGGACACTGTATAGTCCATGGAGAATAAAAGCACCTCCTCCCAGCTACCCACTGCACTGAGGCTAGGAAACACTGTCACCACAGATAAATCTACGATAATCGAGAATTTCAATAAGCATTTTGCTACGGCTGGCCATGCTTTCCACCTGGCTACCCCTACCCCGGCCACCAGCTCAGCACCCTCCGCTGCAACTTGCCCATGCCCCCCCCCCCGCTTCTCCTTCACCCAAATTCAGATAGCTGATGTCCTGAAAGAGCTGCAAAATATGTACCCCTACAAATCAGCTGGGCTAGACAATCTGGACCCTTTCTTTCTAAAATTAGCCGCCGAAATTGTCGCAACCCCTATTACTAGCCTGTTCAACCTCTCTTTCGTATCGTCTGAGATCCCCAGAGATTGGAAAGCTGCCGCGGTCATCCCCCTCTTCAAAGGGGGTGACACTCTAGATCCAAACTGTTACAGACCTATATCCATCCTACCCTGCCTTTCGAAAGTATTTGAAGGCCAAGTTAACAAACAGATCACCGACCACTTCGAATCCCACCTCTACGCTGACGACACCATTTTGTATACATCTGGCCCTTCATTGGACACTGTGTTAACAAACCTCCAAACGAGCTTCAATGCCATACAACACTCCTTCTGTGGCCTCCAACTGCTCTTAAACGCTAGTAAAACTAAATGCATGCTCTTCAATCGAACGCTGCTTGCACCCGCCCGCCCGACTAGAATCACTACTCTCGGCGGGTCTGACGTAGAATACCTAGGTGTCTGGTTAGACCGTAAACTCTCCTTCCAGACTCACATTAAGCATCTCCAATTCAAAGTTAAATCTAGAATTGGCTTCCTGTTTCACAACAAAGCCTCCTTCACTCATGCTGCCAAACATGCCCTCGTAAAACTGACTATCCTACCGATCCTTGCGATGTCATTTCCAAAATAGGTTCCAACACTCAACTCAGCAAATTGAATATAGTCTATCACAGTGCCATCCGTTTTGTCACCAAAGCCCCATATACTACCCACCATTGTGACCTGTACGCTCTCGTTGGCTGGCCCTCACTACATATTCGTCGCCAAACCCACTGGCTCCAGGTCATCTATAAATCACTGCTAGGCAAATCCCCGCCTTATCTTAGCTCATTGGTCACCATAGCAACACCCACCCGTAGTATGCGTTCCAGCAGGTATATTTCACTGGTCATCCCCAAAGCCAACACATCCTTTGGCCGCCATTCCTTCCAGTTCTCTGCTGCAAATGACTGGAACGAACTACAAAAATCTCTGAAGCTGGAGACACTTAACTCCCTCACTAACTTTAAGCATCAGTTGTCAGAGCAGCTTACCGATCACTGCACCTGTACACAGCCCATCTGTAATTAGCTCACCCAACTACCTCATCCCCATATTGTTATTTATTTTTGTTATTTATTTTGCTCATTTGCACCCCAGTATCTCTATTTGCACATCATCTTCTGCACATCTATCACTCCAGTGTTAATACTAAATTGTAATTATTTTGCACTATGGCCTATTTATTGCCTTACCTCCATAACTTACTACATTTGCACACACTGTATATAGATTTTCTATTTTCTATTGTGTTATTGACTGTATGTTTTTGTTTTACCCCATATGTAACTCTGTGTTGTTGTTGTTTTTATCGCACTGCTTTGCTTTATCTTGGCCAGGTCGCAGTTGTAAATGAGAACTTGTTCTCAACTGGCTTACCTGGTTAAATAAAGGTGAAATAAATAAAATAAATAAATAACCTGATGTGTGATCACCACCACCATGTATCTGCCCCTAGTGGTCGTGAGTGTAATTGGCCAAATATTACCACAATATTAAATACACCCAAATTGGCTCCAACAATCATCGTTAGGGATACGTTTTCATCTCTAATAGACAGCTACAAATGAAAAATGTACCCAGCTCATTTTATGGATTTTATTGTTTATTGGATTTACGCACCAACCAAGACTATTTCAGTTTAAGTTAGCGCGCAACGGTACCTGCTTGTTTCACTAAATGCACTAAAACAATATTGTGTGTGTACACTATATGCACAGTGAAGGTATAATATACATCATACAGATATCTACTCAGTGATATAGATGTCTACTCAGTGATATGGATATAGATGTCTACTCAGTGATATGGATATAGATGTCTACTCAGTGATATGGATATAGATGTCTACTCAGTGATATGGATATAGATGTCTACTCAGTGATATGGATATAGATATCTACTCAGTGATATGGATATAGATATCTACACAGTGATATGGATACAGATATCTACTCAGTGATATGGAGATAGAAATCTACTCAGTGAAGGTATAATATACATTATACAGATATCTACTAAGGTCCTCGTTCTGTTATATTGCCCCAGGTCCTATGGTATGGTATCAGAAGTTTGAGTATGCGGTGGGCCACTGCAGAGCACGTGTTTTGGTTGCTTCAGTCTGGTCGGGGGCCTCAGCCCTCATGGACGACAACGTGATGAAGGGATACACCACCAAGGCCACAGAGGCCGGCCGCTACCTACAGTAGGATCAAGGTAAACCAATTGTTCCTAGTCAACAAGAACACAGACACACACACCTCTGGTAGTAGTCTTGTCTACAGCACCGCTCTCTGCTGCGTCGCAGGTGAAGACCGCTGGCTGTGCACTCTCCTGTCGCAGCAGGGCTGGAGGGTGGAGTACAACGCTGCGTCCGACGCCTACACCAACCCCCCCCAGGACTTCAAGGAGTTCTATAACCAGCGTCGGGCGGCCCACTACCATGGCCAACACCATCGACCTGCTGGGCTCAGGGTCTCTGACCTCCCAGAGGAACAGCTTCATCTCCAAACCCTTCATCCTTTACCAGATTATCACCATGGCAGCCTCCATCCTAAGCCCAGCCACCATCTGCCTAATGATCTCAGGTACCCACAGCAACCTGTCTGTCAAAAGGCCTCACACAGCTTTAGCTTTGGGGGAGTTTGTCTTTGGAATATAACAGGATACAAACATTTTATTAACACAGGGAAGAAGATGATTATAATTCATAATTCTGGTCCCCTCTCTTTTTCAGGAAGCTTGTCGTTAATCCTACACATCGATCCCAAATACGCTCTGATCCTTGCAACAGTGCCCCCTGTGTTGTACCTGGTCCTATGCTTCAAGCTGAAATTAGACACACAGGTCACCATAGCAGCCATCATGAGTGCCTTGTATGCTTTCCTCATGATGGGAACCGCTCTGTTCATCATGGGTAAATGGTGACACTAGACTAGGATTTCATCTCAATCAACATAATGTAGAACAGCAAGGCTACAAACCTGACTTACAGACTGACTGCCCGGTCAACCTAGTGGGCGATATCAAACTAGAACATTCATTAAATACAAAAAAAATTGAACTTTTGTAGGCTACAAATGTAAATGTTGCTTTCTCTGTAATGATGTTAACTGTAGTATCTATGTTCATCTCAGGTGCTATGGTTGAGGAGCAGACCATTTGGAATCCCAGCGGCCTGTTCATCATAGGCATGGTGCTGACGAACACCATCACAGCAGCGCTCCACCCCAAAGGAGTTCCATCTGGTCATCTACGGCCTCCTCTACTTCATCTGTATCCCCAGTGGCTACCTCCTGCTGACCATCTACCCCATGGTCAACATGAACAACGTGTCCTGGGGCACCTGGGAGACAGGGGGGCCAAGTCACTTCACCACCACCAACCAAGGCCATCATCACACAGCGCATCCTACAGGCCAAGTGCTGCAAAAGTTTCTGCTGGGACGGCTTTCGGAAACGGTGGTGATGGCGGGATAATTCTGGTCGCCTCTCTTTTTCAGGAAGCTTGTCGTTAATCCTACACATCGATCCCAAATACGCTCTGATCCTTGCAACAGTGCCCCCTGTGTTGTACCTCTGGACCAGAGCGATCAGGTGCCGGAAACGGTGGTGATGGCTGGTAAGCCAAATGGTGAACCTTGATCTGATCTTTCAGGACAATAACAGGTCATGACATTTTTTGAATGGTTGAAGTCTGGGAATCAATTTAAGAATAGTAGAATACACCAGGTGCAATTTCAAAATGTCACTCAATTAGCCATGTCAAGCTAACAATTTTTTGAATTGGTAGTTAGAACTAGCCAGCTATCTAAACTCATAGTTATCATGGCCAATTACCGACCGAGCACGCAGGGCACGTGCCCAGGGGCTCAGACCTCCAGGGGGCCCCCATTGATTTTGTAAGTCATTCTCACTTAGATATCATATTAACATGGCATAAGTCATTACAAAATGTGTAGAAATGTATCTCCACCCATGTTATTACCTGGTACTTCCTGTATATAACCATGTTATTACCTGGTACTTCCTGTATATAGACATGTTATTACCTGGTACTTCCTGTATATAACCATGTTATTACCTGGTACGTCCTGTATATAACCATGTTATTACCTGGTACTTCCTGTATATAGCCATGTTATTACCTGGTACTCCCTGTATATACCCATGTTATTACCTGGTACTCCCTGTATATAGCCATGTTATTACCTGGTACTTCCTGTATATAACCATGTTATTACCTGGTACTCCCTGTATATAACCATGTTATTACCTGGTACTTCCTGTATATAGCCATGTTATTACCTGGTACTTCCTGTATATAGCCATGTTATTACCTGGTACTTCCTGTATATAACCATGTTATTACCTGGTACTCCCTGTATATAACCATGTTATTACCTGGTACTTCCTGTATATAGCCATGTTATTACCTGGTACATCATGTATATAGCCATGTTATTACCTGGTACTTCCTGTATATAACCATGTTATTACCTGGTACTCCCTGTATATACCCATGTTATTACCTCGTACCTCTACTCCTTATTGTTATTTGTTATTCACTGCGTATTCCTTGTGTCACTATTTCTATTTTATTTTAAACATTTGATCATCCATTTAACTCTGTATTGTTGGGAATGGACCCGTACATAAGCATTTCACTGTTATTCCTCAGTTTTCTCATATCACAACCAACAAACTGTTTTAAAATCACTATTGGCCTTATGGTGAAATCCCTGATCAGTTTCCTTCCTCTGTGGCTACTGAGTTAAGAAGGACGCCTGTATCTTTGTAGTGACTGGGTGTATGGATACACCATCCAAAGTGTACGGAATAACTTCACCGTGCTCAAAGAGATATTCAATGTCTGCTTTTGTTTATTTTTACCCATCTACCAATAGGTGCCCTTCTTTGTGAGGAATTGGAAAACCTCCCTGGTCTTTGTGCTTGAATGATGATCTGTGCTTCAAATTCACTATTCGATTGAGGGACTTTACAGATAATTGTACTGTATGTGTGGGGTACAGAGAATGGGTAGTCATTCAAAAATTATGTTAACCATTGTTATATACATTTTTACTCCTGAACTTATTTAGGCTTGCCATAAGAAATGAGTTGAATACTTATTGACTCAAGAGATTTTAGCTTTAATTTTTTTATTAATTTCTAAAGTGTTCTACATACAAAAGTCGACTTTGACATTATGGGGTATTGTGTGTAGATCAGTGACACAAAATGAAAATGTAATACATTTTAAATTCAGGCTGTAACACAACACAATGTGGAAAAAGTGTGAATACTTTCTGAAAGCTCTGTATCTTAATGAAACCATATGCAGACTGTGAACTCTGTGGGCTAAAAGAATGTCTAGATTTACCCATTATGGTGGGCCTGTTTGTATGTGTGGACAGATGTGTGAACTGGCTCATTTATTTATTTAGGTACAGAAACAGGAAGTTTGGAATCTACGCATCTATGATTAAAAGCAAAAAGTTGGAAGATCTGGTTTCTGGAGAAAAATAATATTTTTGTGTCACACAATATTTAGAAGTTCCGATTTGTTTCTTTACTTCACTGACTCATTGAGGCCAAAATAAACTAAATAAAAGGTCTGATGTCCCATTCCTAATAAACATTTCAAAGTAAAATAGATTATTTGCTGTAGTAGATTAATGCTGTACAGGGCAGGGGAATGCTGCTATCTTGTCCTTAAATTAGATTAAATTAAATGAGATGAAATATGAATATGTAATCATTGGCAATGATCCCCCATAGTCCACACACACAAGCACTCGCACACGCACACACACACACACGCACACGCACACAAAATGATCCCCCATAGTCCAGGTTGTGTGTTGATTCATTTCATTTGTTTCCCTTTGAAGTTTTCAGAAAACATTCTATAAAAATAATACAGCAAAAACAACTGATATGGATATCTGTATTGGTCTTTTCGCTTGGCGTCAGTCCAGATTCCCATGGGATCTGTGTGTGTGTGTGGTTGTGTGTGTGGTTGTCGGTTGTTATTGATCTATCACAATGTTCCACTGAGGGACCCAGGAACACACACACACACACACACACACACACACAGATCCCATGGGAATCTGGACTGACGCCAGGTGAAAAGACCAAGACAGATATCCATATCAGTTGTTTTTGCTGTATTATTTTTATAGAATGTTTTCTGAAAACTTCAAAGGGAAACAAATGAAATGAATCAACATACAACCTGGACTATGGGGGATCATTTTGTGTGTGTGTGCGTGTGCGTGTGCGCGTGCGTGTGTGCGTGTGCGCGTGCGTGTGTGTGTGTGTGTGTGGACTATGAGGGATCATTGCCAATGATTACACACACACACATACACACACACACACACACACACACACGTTACAGGAGGGGGTCGCAGTTCCGGAGCGACCCACTAGGTGTCATCCTCCGACAACCATAAGCACCTCCTCACTCACAGTCGGGACTAATTCTCTGCCTATTGGTGTCACCTGTGGCTATCTGATTCACCTGTGTATTTATGCCCTCACTTCCCTGTGTTTCCTTGCTCAGTTTTCTCTGCTAGTTCCTTGATGTCAAGCAGTACGTATCAGTGTCTGATCACGAGACGGAGTTACAGGTACTCGAGAAGTGTTCTCCCTGTGTCATTGGGTTTTTCCAGTCAGAGTTAGTATTTCGTATTGTTTGCTGTCAGCCTGTTTTTTGAAGACCAACGTGCGCCTCATTTGTTTTCGTGAAAAGTCAGTTGTTTTGTATCCTGGTTTTTGGACCACCAGTAAAGTTCCTTGTTTCACCATCCTCGCCTACTGCCTACTGTCTAACCTGCACCGCACCTGGGTCACACCTCACACCAACCCTTGTATGAAATTTGTTATAAAATTGCAACATTTTCTCTCCGCCCATAGCAAAATAGAATAGACGTTTTTATATCAATATCACATAATTTCTGGGTAACAATTAAGCATCTTACTGTGATTGTTTTCAATTAAAATAGTCAAAAATAAACAGTTTCTTAGCAAAGAGCAATTTCTCAAGCAAGAATTTTGTTAGGACTGTCTGAGAGTGGTCCGAGTGGGGAGGGGAAAACCGAAAATGTGTTCTTATTGGCAGAGGTTTGGAACTCTCTTTCTTATTTGTCCATTAAACTAATTTACCACATGGTGATGTCACCATATACGGCTAAATCTCCAGCCCACCAAAACAGGCTGAAATTTCAGGCAGTCTTTTCAAACATCTCTTACACTAAACCGGTATCATCATCATGTTCACAATTTCACAGTGTCATTCCAACCTCATAGTGTGGAAATATATATAAAACACAAGAAATTCTAGTTTTTGACTGCACTGGGCCTTTAAAACTGCAATGTTTTCTCTACGCCCCATGACAAAATGTGTAGAATTGCAAGAAATGAACTTTAAAACTAAATGTTTTCTCTCCTCCGTCAAGAGGGGGGCCACTGAAATGTTTTTCTGTGAGGTGGGGGGCCCAAGCCAAATCTAGCTTAGGGCCCCCTAAAGGCTACAGCCGGCCCTGAGTACACTGTTCTAAGTTCTACATAAAATGCAAATTTGTGCAACTCAATTATAAAAGGTATTCTCCAAGGCTATATGTGGCATTCCACTTGGCGCCGTTATATTGTTTGCATATATAATATTTTCATCTAACTTCTTAGTTTAAATCATTCTCCTTTTAAGCTTTCTTTTTTTTACATTTTCTTCTCTTTTGTGTTGAGACAGTTGTGTGGAATGCACACCTAATAATGTTTGATTTCTTTCAATCTAGGAGTGTGGAATTCCATTCTCATCAATATATTGAACAAAGTGAGTATATATTTTTTTAATAGATCTATTACAGATCTATAACACTGAGCTGCTTATATTGGTATAAGTCATGATTATACACTGTAGATATCTGACTTGACTATATAATACGTGTCGTGATTATACACTGTAGATATCTGACTTGACTATATAATAAGTGTCTGTTGGTGAACTTCAGGAAGAGGAGGACTTTTGGAGAGATCTCCAGAAGCTCTATTTGGAACCTCTGGCTGAGGATAAAGAAAAAACAGGGAAAAAAAATCACAAATGACCTAAAGGAACTGAGAAATAAGGTATGCCGTCTTCTCATTTCACTGTACATGATATTAGCATCAAGTAGGTGTTGTACTTTATGTCCACATCTGGTATTAAAGAGAGAGTTTAGTGCTGTTAAAACGATGACTAGTTGGATTGCTCGTCCCGTTCCTATCCCTTTAATTGAAATGCACTTTGTCCTCTTCACACAGGTGACTTTTATCTATTTCATCTGCAACGCCATGAGGCTGGTGGCGACGTTCACTCTTCAGGTCATTGGAAATGCAGTCACCATCAGAATCCCAAAGTACAATATCAATCTGACTCAGACTAGCGGGTATATATATTCATCGATCCAGTAGGATTTATGTTCCTTTTGGGATTTGCATCCTTACTGCTGATCCAGTTCTTTGCCATGTTCTACCACAGGTGATTATTTTCATTACTGATTTATTTATTTATAGGCAGGATCACCAAATTCTAACCCCCACACTTTCCAAATACTCTCTATTCTTCATTAAGGTTTTTTTTACAATGTAATTTAGTTTTGCCTTCATAAAGCTTTCTCTATGATCCACTAATCCTTGAAATCTATGTTATAGATATTAGTGTCGTTTTGCGTTTGCTCCTTCAGAATTTACACTCTGATCCATTTTGTGGCATTTCTGGGTATGGAGTCCAAGACTGGCAGAAGACTATCAGAATATGACATGCAGGCCAATTAGCATAACCTTGTTGACGATAACATGCAGGCCAATTAGCATAACCTTGTTGACGATAACATGCAGGCCAATTAGCATAACCTTGTTGACGATAACATGCAGGCCAATTAGCATAACCTTGTTGACGATAACATGCAGGCCAATTAGCATAACCTTGTTGACGATAACATGCAGGCCAATTAGCATAACCTTGTTGACGATGACATGCAGGCCAATTAGCATAACCTTGTTGACGATAACATGCAGGTAAATTAGCATAACCTTGTTGACGATGACATGCAGGCCAATTAGCATAACCTTGTGGACGATAACATGCAGGCCAATTAGCATAACCTTCTTGACGATAGTGATGAATATCGTGAGGGCACAAAAGGGACTAGCACTTTGTTGGCATTTTTCAAATATCACTAAAAGATGTGTCTCTGTAACTTCTCACTCAAACTTCACAGATTCCTGACAGCTCAAAGACAAAGAATTTCTGTCTATAAAGTATCCAGCAACAATCCAGCATAGACAAGGAACTCTATGGCGAGGTCCTATCATGGAGTGGCTCTTAGGTCTAGATTTAATCCGTATCGCGGAATCCGTATTATTATTTTTTTTAAATGGTATTTGTTAAAGCTATAAATGAATGATATATACCCATTGATTGTTGACGAATATAACACGTGTAGCTCAGTTGGTAGAGCATGGCGCTTGCAACGCCAGGGTTGTGGGTTTGATTCCCACGGGGGGGACCAGTATGAAAAATGTATGGGAAAAAAATATGTATGCACTCACTAACTGTAAGTCGCTCTGGATAAGAGCGTCTGCTAAATGACTAAAAATGTAAATGTGATAAATGCCTCTTGAGCTTAGTTCAACAGTCGTACCCCATCAGAACCCCATCAGAACCCCCATCAGTTCCCCATCAGAACCCAATCAGAACCCCATCAGAACCCAATCAGAACCCCATCAGAACCCAAAATATAAGCTTGTTCTACTCCAATGTTTGTAAGCAAAGTAAATATAAACAAACACTGTATAGTCTCAAAACATGGTTAACTAGAGTCGATTTCCCCGGAAATCTAATTAGCATAATAAACAAATGCCCATAAAATCAGTCAATTTAACCTAGAAATATCTGGGGGATTTTTTTGCATTGGATGCGTCTCAATCCACCGCATCTGCCGATCTCGCACTTACGCATTTGCGTTGAAAGGTGAGCAGTGTTTGTCAGACCATGAGACATCCCGAAAATCGGTCTTCTCACGAAAAACTTCTGTAGCGTCCGAACGGTTTGACCTAAAAAAAACTATTACGATAACTCTATGGAAAGGGGAACAAGATGGTTGTTTTCCGTTTTGGGACTCGTCTGAAGTCTTTTCTGTCTGTAGCATCCGAACAGTTTGGGCTACACTCTAATATGATGAGCCTCTCACGAACACGTACATGTCGGTTGTTTTGCTCTCCCACAAGCCTCACAAGACTCGTCTGAAGGTCCCCCGGAAGCAGTTTCAAAATGGCTTAGACAGGTCTTAGAACTATTATTTTTAATATCATGGATGGTCAGTCCTTGCATCCATTAGCTCTGTCTATGAATTTGAGAGCGCTTACATTTTCTCCAGGCCCATCCCTCAGCTTTTTACCAAAACAGAGGCGGGGTGTCCGTTTTGTTATTGTTTCGATTAAGGATTCTAATTTTTAAGAAATGGAGCAATTTCCACACCTTTCATAATTTTCGAGCTTCTATTGAAGAGATACTGTAGATCAGTGTTGGAGAGACAGGGAAGATCGAGGCAGGGTGTGCCAAAGGGCAGTGGGACGGAGTCGAACCCATGCCGATTCGAACCCCTAGGTCACACACGATTGAAATGTAAAGGTAATTTCCAATTGAGCCGACATATGCAGCGTTTAAAAAAAAAAAAAAAAAAAAAAAAAATCACGGTTTACTGCCGATCTTCTGTGATATGTATTGACTGATGCCCTTAACGGTAGGAGTTGCAGTTAAAAATATAATTAGGAGTCACAGGGGTGCTGCAGTTGTTACACAATTAAATACAGTAGTTCTGAGGGAGAATGTTTAAAGCAGTATTGATATTGTTTTAGTTCACCTTTATTTAACCAGGAAAAGACCCTTGCTGTTAGAAACCACTTTTGCGTGGGCAGCGTGTACAAACAATACAAGACAGGGACAACCACATTAAACTACAGCAGTCAACACAGCATCCTGTAACAAAAGGATTGTAAATCTCTGGGAATTGTGATAGTGTATAAATGTTATCGTATTGTGCCATTTCATGTGTGATCGACCGTTTTAGCTTGTAATCTTTGTGGGTTTACCCTTTTTTATTATCAAATGCTGTGATTGTTGTGAGTCACTTCCTTGTAGTATTATTATTTTTCTAACACCCTTGTTGAGTGAAGCACTATTATCCATATATTTAAGTATGGTGTGTCACACTATATATTGCACTGATTTGTTGAGATTTCTAATGAACTGTTGGTGGAGTTTGTTGTGTATTTATTTCGTAACTGAATAGATTGTTTAAAGCCTTCATACTGATAGCAAATTGTGCCTAATTTCATGTTGTATCCGTTTTCTAATCAATATTTCAAAATAAAACTATTTTTATACTGTACGTCTCAGAATTTTCATCTGATTAAACTAAATCAAAGTTTTGATTGAAGACTGAGATAAGGCCTGTGATGTTTTAAATGTTTTGTTTTTACAACAGAAAAAAACCAGCAAACAAGACGTATAGACGTACAAGATCAACATCCAACAGTTAGACAGGCCAGGTAGACAGGACTGGAGAGCTAAGACAGGACAACGTATAATAAAAAGGTTGTGTGTTTTAGAATTTGTGTACTACTGCTTGTCTGGCTGCATCCATACAGGCCCTTGCAGGGTAGGATTGCCCTGATATCTTTACTATTTGGAGGTGGTTTTCAACGTCACATTTTTCTTTTGATTATTTCATTAACCTACATCATGTTATTTCAAGTTATCCCTTTGGAGTGCAATATCACGTTGTAAAAAAAAAAAGCCTAAATTGGGCAGTTGACAGCATTTAGGGCTGTTCAGTGATAAATGATAGACTTTTCAAATGTTTTATGCAACATATTACTTGGCAAGTGACTTGATGCCTAGTGTGCCAAAAGCGATTTAGAGTGACGAGTGTGCTGATATAACGGAATTCAAAAATTCAGTACAATATTCCTATCACATTATTTAAAATATCAGAATTTGTAAAAAAAAAAAAAAAAAAAAAAGGATTATGCATGCCAACATATTAGGCAATAATTAAGAGAAGGCAAAGTGATCGTGTCAGGCGAAAATGATATCAAAAAACGTTTTATCATTGCAACATTTGATGTACTGTCGGCTATAGTCACATTCACCGCGGTTGTCTGAAGCGTGCTGTAGAGTTCACAGCTGGCGATGATGCCTCATCGCGATTGGTTGTTCCCCCGTCATTTGTAACAAACGCCAATGAGCATCATCACTATTTTTCCCTTTGCGGGACCTCAAACTGTCGTGATTACCAGCTGAGATAAAACTTTTATATGAAGTTTATTTTAATCCTGGCCCAAACTTTGTCAGGGCAGTGTCTTAACATCATCCTAAAATGTACTCTGAGCTGGGAGTTTTTTTTTTTTGTCTTAACAGGATTCCGAGGACCTTTTGTGAGATGCTTTGTGGATACGGGCCCGGGTCTCTTGTAACAGACTGTTAAGTTAACACACTTAATATTTGGGTCTGGTTTGCGAGATCATATGAATTCAAATGAACAAGTTTTGAGCTTGAGTTGACCCTGTGGTGGTAAGACTATAGACAAGGAATACTGAACAAGTCACTTAGAACGAATCTCATCCCCGGGTCAAGGCAATCACCCGAGGGCTCTGGGTGTTGTGTGTTTTTTAAGATTGCAGTGGTTGGTTGGTTGGTGTGTGGTGTTTTAACATTTGGTGGGGTGTTTTAATGGTTTGTGCGTTGTGAATTAGAACAAAACTTTTTGGGCAATGAGGCAGAGACTAAATCTCATCCATTTCCTTACAAAAAGGGGTTCTCCTTTGCTCCCCCCAGTTGCCATCAACCCCCCCACTCAGTAAAACCCTCATTAACAACATTTAAGCACAACAATTTTTCCTTTGTTTTGCCAACAAAGACAAAATTCATTGAATTAAATATTAAAAGAAACAAATAATTTTCACTCTGAATAATATTAATTTAAAAAGAAACAAATAATTTCCAACTGAATTAATTCAAACAAACAAAAATTTACACTCTGAATAATATTAATTAAAAAGAACATATTTTTTCTCACTGAATTAATATTACATTAACAAGAACACAATATAATTCACTGGATAAAAACAACAGAACAAAAATTTTACTGAATTATATTTAATAACAAACACAATAAATTTCTACCGAATTTATTAATTAACAAGAACAAAAATAATTTCCTCATCTGATTAGTATGAATTATAAAAAAAAAATTACCACCTGAATAGATACATAACAAAAACTCATAGAAGCAATCCTCTTGTGAAAATCGGAGAATGATCGTCTGGGAGTGTAAATTAAAAGACAATAGTAAGTGACGAAAAAAATGAGTAGAGGCGAGGAAGGGTCAGAGGGATAGAGGGAGAAAGGGGAGAAAACAAGAAATTTTCCATAAGAATTTTTAAATAGATAACCGGGGGTTTTTTGAAAACCAAGGGGAAATAAAAGGGAAAGGGGGCTACGGGTACTAGTTTTTCACCAACCGATGAATTTTAAAGACCAAACCCCCCTCGGGGGGGAAAAAAGAATCCGACGGGGGAGGGGGTCAGTAACCCACCCCGAGGGCCCCTTCCCCTAAATTAACCCCCGGCGCCCGGGATTTTACCCACCACCCGTCATTGCCTACCCCGAGAGGCAGGAGGGGGTGGGGGGGGGGTTACAGGGGACAAGGGGGGGTACGAGAGGGGGGGGGGAAGGGGTCCAGGAAAGGAGAGAGGGGGGGGGGGGTCGAGAGTAAGGGGGAGAGGGGAAGGGGAGGGGTAAAAAGAGGAATTTGGGGGTTTTTTTTTGGGGGGGTCCAAAAAAAGTTTTTTTTTTATAACCCCTGGGGGCCTTTTTTTTTCTTTCCCCCTTTTTGGTTTTACCCCTCCCCCATTAGAGAAGGGGGGGTAAAATAAGGAGAGAGGGGGAGGGTACCAGAAGAGGAGAGGGGGGGGTCCGGGGGGTTACAATTTTGGGGGGGGGGCCAAAAAAGGGGGGGGGGGTACAGGTAGGGGGGGCGCGGGGTTTGGGGGGGGGTTCCCGGGGGGGGTTTTCGGTTAAAGGGGGGGGGGTTTCTTCGGTTTGGGGGTTCAGGTTTTGGGGGGGGCGGTGTCGGGGTTTTGGGTTTTTTTTCCCCCCCTCCTTTGGTTTTTTTTCCCCCGCCGGTTTTCCTCAACGAGGGCCAGGGGTTACCGGTCAAGGGGGGGCCCCTTTTTTCTGGCAATACCCGGGGCCTTTTTGAAAAACCCCCCCCTTTTTTTTTTCGTAAGGGGTTGTTTTTTCCCACCCCTAAGCGGGGGGCCCTTTTCGTTAAACGTTTCCCGGGTTTTTTGGGGGGGTTTTTTTTTCCCAACGGCCTGGTTTTTCCCCTTTTTTTTTTGTTTTTTTGGGGGGTCTTTTTTAGGCGTTTTTCAATAAGGGAAGGTTTCCTGGGTCTGTTTTAAAAACCCCTTTTAGTACCCCCCTTTTTTTTTTCCGGTAAAGGGGGGGGGGTTTTTGGTTTGGAGGGTTTTTTAAAAGGGGGGGAAATTTGGGGGAAAAAATTTTTTATTTTATTAAAAAATTTTTACAGATTGAGGGGGGAAAATTAAGATAAAATTTTTTGAAATGGGGGGGGCCCCAAAAATTCAAGATAAGGGGAAACCCCCTGGCCCCCGTTAGGTTTTTTTTTTTAAATGCCCCCTTTTTTTCGAAAAGGGGTCTTCTTTAAACCCCGGGGGGTCGGTAAAAGGGGGGGGGGGTGTACATTTAAAAAGGGGGGGTTTTTTTTAAAATTTTTTCAAAAAAATTCCCCAAAAGGGGGGGTCCCCCCGGCACCCGGGGGGGTTTTTTCCCTCCCTTTTTTTCTTTTTTAATCCCTTTTTTTTCCCTTTTACGGGTTAGTTTTAAATGGGGGGTTTTTCAAGATTTTTTTTTTTGGGGGGGGGGGGGGGCCCCACTGGGGGGCTACCCAAAAAAGGGGGGGGTTTTTAAAAATTTTGGGAGGGGGATTTGGGGGGGGGTTTGGGGGTTTTTGGGGGGGTCAGATGGAAAAGGGGGGGGTCGGGGGTAGAGAAAGGCCAGTCTCTTGCTGCCCACACAATCTTCAGCTACCAGGTGTCGGTTTCCCGGGTTGGCTTGTTTGATTGAATCCAGTCTTAAATTCTTCAGCTGCTCTGTCGTTCGCTACAAGACATTAGTGTGAATCCGCCATCACTGATTGTTTTCACCACATATGACGTCACCCAAAGTAAATCAGCGATTGGATCGCCTCTAACCAATAGTATCAACTGCGGAGAAGAAGAAAAAAACGACGGCACGGCGAATCGTTTGGCCAGAGCAAGGAGTCGTCTAGCCAGGTCAAATGTCAATGAGAATGATGAGTCTATTCAGATATGAAAAACAAACATCTTTAATAATAGAGCCATTCTTTGAACATCAGGTATTATAAAGTCATTCAGTAATAACAACACACTCTGAAATAAAACATGAAAACTGGAGTAGCAGAGTGGCTAACCCATGATAACAGCCTTAGGACATGACAGAGGGGCTAACCCATGATAACAGCCTTAGGACATGCACTAACCGTCCCTTAAAAGTCAACATAATGCAAATGGTCTACAGTCTGTACAATTTTAGAATATCTTATAGACACATCATAGAGATGGAATTGCATTATATAGAGACACCTATTTTAGAGACATTCCACATCATCCAAATGAACACTGTCCTTTGGGACATACAGAATTGAGGGACTAATATGATTATATTCTTGTGTTGTGTTTTGCAATCAAACATAAATCCTCTAAACTATAACTAGGGTTATAAAGTGCCGTTTAATCTTTGCTCGGGAAAAAGGTTGAGATTGTTTACTTGCAGGCATTACATCACTACTATCGCAAAACAATAAATATACAAGATTATATAACGCCCATCCCCTTAATAAAACCCATGGAAAGCCTCTTAGGACAAACTGTGCCGCGTCAGCATCCTTCACATCAGTGTCTCAAATGGCACCCTATTCCCTATGTAGTGCACTACACTTGACCAGGGACCATAAGACCCATAGGGTTCTGGTCAAAAGTAGTGCACTACAGAGGGAACAGGGTGCCATTTAGGACGAAATAACCATGTTGTAGTAGCGTGCGTGATTTCCTATGTTTACATCAGAGCTGCTGTCATAATTACATTTGACATTTTTAGTCATTTTAGCAGACGCTCTTATCCAGCGCGACTTACAGGAGCAATTAGGGTTAAGTGCCTTGCTTAAGGGCACATCGACAGATTTTTCACCTAGTCGGCTCGGGGATTAGAACCAGCGACCTTTCGGTTACTGGCACAACGCTCTTACCCATAATGAGTTTGTTGTCTGAATTGGTGTGATGAGATATGAGTTATATTGCCTATTGTTGCCATTGAATTGTCTGTTTGTAATCCAGAAGAGCGAGAAAAGGGGCCTTTGGCGGTTAGAGTTGTGTAGAGTAGAGTAAACACATGAACACACACACACTCGCGTTCTCACGCCTGCCCAAGCACACACACACATTCCTCCCATCCCTACTGCTTCTTGGGCATGATAAACACACAGCACAGAGGTGTCTAATTCTGTTTGGGCGTGGCGAAGTCCCACGCGGTGTCTTGGGCACACTTCACCATGGCTCGTACCAACCGGGTGAAGCCCATGTCTTTGGGTTTCTCCAGACCCCGCATCAGACGCTGCTTCATTATGGCTATAAACTCCTTATTACTGAGTTCCCCATTACCTAGAGGGAGGGAGGGGGGGGGGGGGGGGGGGGGGGGGGGGGAGGGGGGGGGGGGGGGGGGGGGGGGAGGGGGGGAGGGGGGAGGGGGGGAGGGGGAGGAGGGAGGGAGGGAGGGAGGGAGGGGGGGGGGGAGAGGAAGAGAGAGTTGTATTAGTTAACCATTTAGTTTTATTAGTTAACAATAGAGATATTGTTTTATTAGTTAACAATAGAGATATTGTTGTATTATTTAACATTGTTGTATTATTTAACAATAGAGATATTGTTGTATTAGTTAACAATAGAGATATTGTTGCATTAGTTAACAATAGAGATATTGTTGTATTAGTTAACCATAGAGATATTGTTGCATTAGTTAACAATATAGATATTGTTGCATTAGTTAACAATAGAGATATTGTTGTATTATTTAACAATAGAGATATTGTTTAATTAGTTAACAATAGAGATATTGTTTTATTAGTTAACAATAGAGATATTGTTTTATTATTTAACAATAGAGATATTGTTGTATTATTTAACAATAGAGATATTGTTTAATTAGTTAACAATAGAGATATTGTTTTATTAGTTAACAATAGAGATATTGTTTTATTATTTAACAATAGAGATATTGTTGTATTATTTAACAATAGAGATATTGTTGTATTAGTTAACAATAGAGATATTGTTGTATTATTTAACAATAGAGATATTGTTGTATTATTTAACAATAGAGATATTGTTGTATTATTTAACCATAGAGATATTGTTGTATTAGTTAACAATAGAGATATTGTTGTATTAGTTAACAATAGAGATATTGTTGTATTATTTAACAATAGAGATATTGTTGTATTATTTAACAATAGAGATATTGTTGTATTATTTAACAATAGAGATATTGTTGTATTATTTAACCATAGAGATATTGTTGTATTATTTAACAATAGAGATATTGTTGTATTATTTAACAATAGAGATATTGTTGTATTATTTAACAATAGAGATATTGTTGTATTATTTAACAATAGAGATATTGTTGTATTATTTAACAATAGAGATATTGTTGTATTATTTAACCATAGAGATATTGTTGTATTATTTAACCATAGAGATATTGTTGTATTAGTTAACAATAGAGATATTGTTGTATTAGTTAACAATAGAGAAATAAAGCGTCTCATCAATATAAACATGGAACAATGAAGAATATCTGAATACCTACACACACACACACACACACCTACGCACACACACACACACACACACACACGCACACCTACGCACACACACACACACACCTACTCACCATCGCAGTCGAACAGAGCGAACACGACGTCACACACATGATCAGACAGCTCCACTTTAGCCACCGTACGAGCTACCTGCTTCATCGTGGCTGAAAGAGAGAGAGAAGAGGAGAGAGAATGAGAGGAGAGAGAGAAGAGGAGAGAGAACGAGAGGAGAGAGAAGAGGAGAGAGAATGAGAGGAGAGAGGGATAGAGAGAGAACGAGAGGAGAGAGGGATAGAGAGAGATAATGAGAGTAGAGAGGGATAGAGAGAGATAATGAGAGGAGAGAGGGATAGAGAGAGAATGAGAGGAGAGAGGGATAGAGAGAGAGAATGAGAGGAGAGAGGGATAGAGAGAGATAATGAGAGGAGAGAGGGATAGAGAGAGATAATGAGAGGAGAGAGGGATAGAGAGAGAGAATGAGAGGAGAGGGATAGAGAGAGAGAATGAGAGGAGAGGGATAGAGAGAGAGAATCTTAAATACGACATCTGTCTCACCTAGCTACAGTAGCTTGTGAAAGTATTCACCCCCCCCCCCACTTGGCATTTTTCCTATTTTGTTGCCTTACAACCTGGAATTAAAATTGATTTTGGGGGGGGTTTGTATCATTTGATTTACACAACATGCCTACCACTTTGAAGATGCAACATATTTTTTATTGTGAAACAAACAAGAAATAAGACACACAAAAAAAGAAAACTTGTGCGTGCATAACTATTCACCCCCCCAAAGTCAATACTTTGTAGAGCCACCTTTTGCAGCAATTACAGCTGCATGTCTCTTGGGGTATGTCTCTATAAGCTTGGCACATCTAGCCCCTGGGATTTTTGCCCATTCTTCAAGGCAAAACTGCTCCAGCTCCTTCAAGTTGGATGGGTTCCGCTGGTGTACAGTAATCTTTAAGTCATACCACAGATTCTCAATTGGATTGAGGTCTGGGCTTTGACTAGGCCATTCCAATACATTTAAATGTTTCCCCTTAAACCACTCAAGTGTTGCTTTAGCAGTATGCTTAGGGTCATTGTCCTGCTGGAAGGTGAACCTCCGTCCCAGTCTCAAATCTCTGGAAGACTGAAACAGGTTTCCCTCAAGAATTTCCCTGTATTTAGCGCTCTCCATCATTCCTTCAATTCTGACCAGTTTCCCAGTCCCTGCCGATGAAAAACATCCCCACAGCATGATGCCGCTGCCACCACCATGCTTCACTGTGATGGGATGGTGTTCTCTGGGTGATGAGAGGTGTTGGGTTTGCGCCAGACATAGCGTTTTTCTTGATGGCCAAAAAGCTCAATTTTAGTCTCATCTGACCAGAGTACCTTCTTCCATATGTTTGGGGAGTCTCCCACATTTACATTTTACATTTTTAGTCATTTAGCAGACGCTCTTATCCAGAGCGACTTACAGTTAGTGAATACATATTTTTTTTATACTGGCCCCCCGTGGGAATCGAACCCACAACCCTGGCGTTGCAAACGCCATGCTCTATCAACTGAGCTACATCCCTGCCGGCCATTCCCTCCCCTACCCTGGACAACGCTGGGCCAATTGTGCGCCGCCCATGAGTCTCCCGGTCGCGGCCGGCGGCGACAGAGCCTGGATTCGAACCAGGATCTCTAGTGGCACAGTTAGCACTGCGATGCAGTGCCTTAGACCACTGCGCCACTCAGGAGTATATGCCTTTTGGCGAACACCAAACGTGTTTGCTTATTTTTTTTCTTTAAGCAATGGCTTTTTTCTGGCCACTCTTCTGTAAAGCCCAGCTCTGTGGAGTTTACGGCTTAAAGTGGTCCTATGGACAGATACTCCAATCTCCGCTGTGGAGCTTTGCAGCCCCTTCAGGGTTATATTTGGTCTCTTTGTTGCCTTTCTGATTAATGCACTCCTTGTCTGGTCCGTGAGTTTTGGTGGGCGGCCCTCTCTTGGCAGGTTTGTTGTGGTGCCATATTCTTTCCATTTTTTAATAATGGATTTAATGGTGCTCCGTGGGATGTTCAAAGTTTCAGATATTTTTTTTATAACCCAACCCTGATCTGTACTTCTCCACAACTTTGTCCCTGACCTGTTTGGAGAGCTCCTTGGTCTTCATGGTGCCGATTGCTTGGTGGTAACCCTTGCTTAGTGGTGTTGCAGTTTCTGGGGCCTTTCAGAACAGGTGTATATATACACTGAGATCATGTGACACTTAGATTGCACACAGGTGGACTTTATTTAACTAAATATGTGACTTCTGAAAGTAATTGGTTGCACCATCTTATTTAGGGGCTTCATAGCAAAGGGGGTGAATACATACGCACGCACCACTTTTCCGTTATTTATTTTTTTATACTTTTTTGAAACAAGTTATTTTTTTCATTTCACTTCACCAATTTGGATTATTTTGTGTATGTCCATTACATGGAATCAAAATAGAAATCCATTTAAATTACAGGTTGTAATGCAACACAATAGGAAAAACGCCAAGGGGGATGAATACTTAAGATGTATGCGCTAACTGTGACTGTGATATGTGGTTGTTTCACCTAGCTACCTTGAAATGTATGCACTAACTGTACGTCGCTCTGGATAAGAGGCCGTTTGGAACTTGGTATTAAATGTTGCAACCGAGGAAAGACCCAAAAAAAATTTACGTGCTACGCGCTTCAGCGGTCCCATTCTGTGAGCTTGGCCTACCACTTTGAGGCTGAGCCGTTGTTGCTCCTAGACATTTCCACTTCACAATAACAGTACTTACAGTTGACCGGGGCAGCTCTAACAGGGCAGAAATTTGACGAACTGACTTGTTGGAAAGTTGGCATACTATGACGGTGCCACGTTGAAAGTCACTGAGCTCTTCAGTACGGGCCATTCTCCTGCCAATGTGTGTCTATGGAGATCGCATGGCTGTGTGCTCGATTTTATACACCTGTCAGCAACGGGTGTGGCTGAAATAGCCAAATCCTGGAGTGGCCTAGCCAGTTTCCAGACCTTAATCCCATAGAAAAGCTGTGGAGTGAGCTGAAGGTTCGAGTTGCCAAACTTAAATATCATACAATGTGATTTTCTGGATTTTTGTTTTAGATTCCGTCTCTCACAGTTGAAGTGTACCTATGATAAAAATTACAGACCTTTACATGCTTTGGTTAAGTAGGAAAACGAAAAAAAATCGCAATGTTCAAATACTTGTTCTCCCCACTATATATATATATATATATATATATATATATATATATTATATTATATGATGGAGGAGATAGATATAGAATGAATAGAAGGAGATGAGGAGAGAGAGAGAGGAGAAAAGAGAGAGCAGAAAGAAGAGAAGAGCAGAAAACAGAGGAGAGAGAGAGGAGAGAGAGAGAACGAGAACGAGAGAGAAGCAAAATGAATGAGGAGGAGATGGGAGAGAGAGGAGAGAGAGGAGAGGAGAGCAGAGAGGAGAGGTAGAGAGAGAGAAGGGGAGAGAGGAGAGGAGAGAAGAGGAGAGAGAGAGAGGAGAGAGATGAGGGAGAGAGAGAGAAATATTGGTTTGATTTATCGCTCTGCACACAGAATCCAATCGATTCCAACATAATCAGCCTTCTGTGGCCATTTCAGAAATTGAATTAGAGGGGAAAGAAAGTGAGTGAGAGTGATCAAAATCCAGAAAAGATCTGTAAAACTCTACAACCACCTAAAAGGAAGCAATGCCCACACATTCCCCCACAAAGCCCTCACCAACAGACCGACGAACCTGGAGAAGAGTCCCCCCAACCAGCTGGTTTTGGCGCTCTCTTCACATTCCACCACAAAGCCCTCACCAACAGAGCGACGAACCTGGAGAAGAGTCCCCCCAACCAGCTGGTTTTGGCGCTCTCTTCACAATCCAAGATGGCGTAGCAGTGCGTTCGTGTTTTCTATAGTGTCCTCATGTAAATAACCAATTTTTGGCTTTTTATGTATTTTTCATATATATTTTCGTATATATTTCTCAATTTCACTTTCCATCTGTGAACTAAATATACTTTCCTGCAACCCGCCTCACCCAATGTGGAACAGATTCTATTATTTATTTTTATCCAGAACCTCTGGATGAAACTAGCCAGCTAACTAGCTACTCGCTATTAGCCACCGTTAGCGGTCTTCACCATTGTCCGTGGCCTGCACTACCTACCAGCCAGCTCTAGCCTGGACAATTATCGGCCAGTCTGCACAGCGTGCACATTGCGCTATCGAGCTAGAGCATATCGGATTTTCTAACGGAATCACTGGACCTTAACACCGGATCATCGCAACTAGCTAGCTGCAACCGAATGGCTGTTGTTTTTGAAGCTAATCACCACTGTCCGTAGCTAGCCCCAGTTAGCCTTGAGCTAGCCTCGAGCCAGGCACATCTCCCGGCTATCTACCTCTGTCAACCGGACGAGACCTCCTAGCGTTGACACGGAGCCCCACCGATCCATTACGACTGGTCTGCCGATGTAATCGTCTGATGTGGTTTCAACAGGCTTCCCGTTGTTCACTGCATTAGCACACTCTGCCAACCCTCATGTTCTAGCAATGTCTGAATCCTGGCTTAGGAAGGCCACCAAAAAAACAGAAATGTCCATTCCGAACTATAACATTTTCCGTCTAGATAGAACTGTTGGTCTGTGCCCAAACAGTTTGAGCTTCTACTTCTAAAAATCCACCTTTCCAGAAATAAGTCTCTCACTGTTGCCGCTTGCTACAGACCCCCCTCAGCCCCCAGTTGTGCCCTGGACACCATATGTGAATTGCTTGCCCCCCATCTATCCTCAGAGTTCGTACTGCTTGGTGACCTAAACTGGGAAATGCTTAACACCCCGGTCATCCTACAATCTAAACTAGATGCCCTCAATCTCACACAAATCATCAAGGTACAACCCTAAATCCGTAAACATGGGCACCCTCATAGATATCATCCTGACTAATTTACCCTCTAAATACACCTCCGCTGTCTTCAACCAGGATCTCAGCGATCACTGCCTCATTGCCTGCGTCCGTAATGGGTCCGCGGTCAAACGACCACCCCTCATCACTGTCAAACGCTCCCTAAAACACTTCAGCGAGCAGGCCTTTCTAATTGACCTGGCCCGGGTATCCTGGATGGATATTGACCTCATTCCGTCAGTAGAGGATGCCTGGATGTTCTTTAAAAGTGCTTTCCTCTCCATCTTAAATAAGCATGCCCCATTCAAAAAATTCAGAACTAAGAACAGATATAGCCCCTGGTTCACCCTAGACCTGACTGCCCTTGACCAGCACAAAAACATCCTGTGGCGTACTGCATTAGCATCAAACAGCCCCCGCGATATGCAACTTTTCAGGGAAGTCAGGAACCAATATACACAATCAGTTAGGAAAGCAAAGGCTAGCTTTTTCAAACAGAAATTTGCATCCTGTAGCACTAACTCCAAAAAGTTTTGGGACACTGTATAGTCCATGGAGAATAAGAGCACCTCCTCCCAGCTACCCACTGCACTGAGGCTAGGAAACACTGTCACCACCGATAAATCTACGATAATCGAGAATTTCAATAAGCATTTTGCTACGGCTGGCCATGCTTTCCACCTGGCTACCCCTACCCCGGCCACCAGCTCTGCACCCTCCACTGCAACTTGCCCATGCCCCCCCCCCAGCTTCTCCTTCACCCAAATTCAGATAGCTTATGTCCTGAAAGAGCTGCTAAATCTGGATCCCATACAAATCAGCTGGGCTAGACAATCTGGACCCTTTCTTTCTAAAATTAGCTGCCGAAATTGTCGCAACCCCTATTACTAGCCTGTTCAACCTCTCTTTCGTATCGTCTGAGATCCCCACAGATTAGAAAGCTGCCGCGGTCATCCCCCTCTTCAAAGGGGGTGACACTCTAGATCCAAACTGTTACAGACCTATATCCATCCTGCCCTGCCTTTCGAAAGTTTTTGAAAGCCAAGTTAACAAACAGATCACCGACCATTTCGAATCCCACCGTACCTTCTCCGCTATGCAATCTGGTTTCTGAGCTGGTCATGGGTGCACCTCAGCCACGCTCAAGGTCCTAAATGAAATAATAACCGCGATCGATAAAAGACAGTACTGTGCAGCCGTCTTCATTGACCTGGCCAAGGCTTTTGACTCTGTCAATCACCGCATTCTTATTGGCAGACTAAATAGCCTTGCTTTCTCAAATGACTGCCTTGCCTGGTTCACCAACTACTTCTCAGATAGAGTTCAATGTGTCAAATCGGAGGGCCTATTGTCTGGACCTCTGGCAGTCTCTATGGGGGTGCCACAGGGTTCAATTCTTGGGCCGACTATTCTCTGTGTATATATTATAATAATAATGCCATTTAGCAGACGCTTTTATCCAAAGCGACTTACAATCATGCGTGCATACATTTTTTTTTTGTGTATGGGTTGGTCCCGGGGATCGAACCCACTACCTTGGCGTTACAAGCGCCGTGCTCTACCAGCTGAGCTACAGAGGACTACATCAATGACATCGCTCTTGCTGCTGGTGACTCTCAGATCCACCTCTACGCAGACAACACCATTTTGTATACATCTGGCCCTTCATTGGACACTGTGTTAACAAACCTCCAAACGAGCTTCAATGCCATACAACACTCCTTCAGTAGCCTCCAACTGCTCTTAAACACTAGTAAAACTAAATGCATGCTCTTCAATCGAACGCTGCTGGCACCCGCCCACCTGACTAGAATCACTACTCTCGACGGGTCTGACCTAGAGTATGTGGACAACTACAAATACCTAGGTGTCTGGTTAGACTGTAAACTCTCCTTCCAGACTCACATTAAGCATCTCCAATCCAAAGTTAAATCTAGAAACGGCTTCCTATTTCGCAACAAAGCCTCCTTCACTCATGCTGCTAAACATGCCCTCGTAAAACTGACTATCCTACCGATCCTTGACTTCAGCGATGTCATTTATAAAATAGCTTCCAACACTCTACTCAGCAAATTGGATGTAGTCTATCACAGTGCCATCCGTTTTGTCTCCAAAGCCCCATATACTACCCACCATTGTGCCCTGTACGCTCTCGTTGGCTGGCCCTCACTACATATTCGTCGCCAAACCCACTGGCTCCAGGTCATCTATAAATCACTGCTAGGCAAATCCCCACCTTATCTTAGATCATTGGTCACCATAGCAACACCCACCCGTAGTATGCGTTCCAGCAGGTATATCTCACTGGTCATCCCCAAAGCCAACACCTCCTTTGGCCACCATTCCTTCCAGTTCTCTGCTGCAAATGACTGGAACGAACTGCAAAAATCTCTGAAGCTGGAGACACTTACCTCCCTCACTAACTTTAAGCATCAGTTGTCAGAGCAGCTTACTGATCACTGCACCTGTACACAGCCCATCTGTAATTAGCCCACCCAACTACCTCATCCCCATATTGTTATTTACATTGTTATTTATTTTGCTCATTTGCACCCCAGTATCTCTATTTGCACATCATCTTCTGCACATCTATCACTCCAGTGTTAATACTAAATTGTAACTATTTTGCACTATGGCCTATTTATTGCCTTACCTCCATAACTTAAATTTGCACACACTGTATATAGATTTTCTATTGTATTTTTGACTGTACGTTTTGTTTATTCCATATGTAACTCTGTGTTGTTGTTGTTTTTAATCGCACTGCTTTGCTTTATCTTGGCCAGGTCGCAGTTGTAAATTAGAACTTGTTCTCAACTGGCTTACCTGGTTAAATAAAGGTGAAATAAAATTTAAAAAACACAAACAGAGCCCCAGGACAAAAACACATTTAGACCCAAACAAATTATGAGAAAGCAAAAAGATAACTATTTGACACTGGAAAGAATCAACCAAAATATAGAGAAAATTGGAATGCTATCTGGCCCTAAACAGAGAGTACACAGTGGCAGAATACCTGACCACTGTGACTGACTCTAAATTAAGAGAGAGAGAGCGAGAGAGAGCGAGAGCGAGAGAGAGAGAGAGAGAGCTAGAGAGCTAGAGAGCGAGCTAGAGAGAGAGAGGGAGAGGGATCTAGAGAGAGAGAGGGAGCTAGAGAGGTAGAGAGAGAGAGCTAGAGAGAGAGAGAGAGAGAGAGAGCATAGCCTTGCTATTGAGAAAGGCCGCCGTAGGCAGACCTGGCTCTCAAGAGAAGACAGGCTATGTGCACACTGCCCACAAAATGAGGTGGAAACTGAGCTGCACTTCCTAACTTCCTGCCAAATGTATGACCATATTAGAGACACACATTTCCCTCAGATTACAGCGATCCACAAAGAATTCGAAAACAAAACCAAATTTTGATAAACTCCCTTATCTACTGGGTGAAAAACCACAGTGTGACATCACAGCTGCAAGATTTGTGACCTGTTGCCACAAGAAAAAGGCAACCAGTGAAGAACAAACACCATTGTAAATACAACCCATATTTATGTTTATTTATTTTCCCTTTTGTACTTTAACTATTTGCACATTGTTACAACACTGTATATATACATAGTATGACATTTGAAATGTCTTTATTCTTTTGGAACTTCTGAGTGTAATGTTTACTGTTAATATTTATTGTTTATTTCACTTTTGTTTACTATCTACTTCACTTGCTTTGGCAATGTTAACACACGTTTCCCATGCCAATAAAGCCCTTAAAATTGAATTGAAATTGAAAAATTTGAGAGAGTGCTAGAGAGCTAGAGAGAGAGAGAGAGAGCGAGCTAGAGAGCTAGAGAGAGAGAGAGAGAGAGGGAGAGAGAGCGCTAGAGAGCTAGAGAGAGAGAGAGAGAGAGGGCGCTAGAGAGCTAGACAGAGAGAGAACCAAATAATGCATGCAGAGCAGAATTAGGCCAATACACGCTAATTATCAAAATCCAGAAAAGAGCCGTTAAATTCTATAACCACTTAAAAGGAAGCGATTCCCAAACCTTCCATAACAAAGCCATCACCTACAGAGAGATGAACTTGGAGAAGAGTCCCCTAAGTAAGCTTGTCCTGGGCCTCTGTTCACAAACACAAACAGACCCCACACAGCCCCAGGACAACAACGACAACAACAACAACAACAACAACAACAACAACAACAACACAATTAGACCCAACCAAATCATGAGAAAACAAAAAGAGAATTACTTGACACATTGGAAAGAACAAACAAAAAAACAGAGCAAACTAGAATGCTATTTGGCCCTAAACAGAGAGTACACAGTGGCAGAATACCTGACCACTGTGACTGACCCAAACTTAAGGAAAGCTTTGACTATGTACAGACTCAGTGACCATAGCCTTGCTATTGAGAAAGGCCGCCGTAGGCAGACCTGGCTCTCAAGAGAAGACAGGCTATGTGCACACTGCCCACAAAATGAGGTGGAAACTGAGCTGCACTTCCTAACTTCCTGCCAAATGTATGACCATATTAGAGACACACATTTCCCTCAGATTACAGCGATCCACAAAGAATTCGAAAACAAAACCAAATTTTGATAAACTCCCTTATCTACTGGGTGAAAAACCACAGTGTGACATCACAGCTGCAAGATTTGTGACCTGTTGCCACAAGAAAAAGGCAACCAGTGAAGAACAAACACCATTGTAAATACAACCCATATTTATGTTTATTTATTTTCCCTTTTGTACTTTAACTATTTGCACATTGTTACAACACTGTATATATACATAGTATGACATTTGAAATGTCTTTATTCTTTTGGAACTTCTGAGTGTAATGTTTACTGTTAATATTTATTGTTTATTTCACTTTTGTTTACTATCTACTTCACTTGCTTTGGCAATGTTAACACACGTTTCCCATGCCAATAAAGCCCTTAAATTGAAATTGAATTGAATTGAGAGAGAGAGAGCGCGAGCTAGAGAGAAAGTGAAATAAATAAATAATTGGGGTGGGGAGGCTTAGACATAGGCTGGTGATCCTCTTGGCTCTGTGGTAGAAACAGCAGGATCATCTTACTCTACAGACGTGAGAAATGAGAGAAATGAGAGATACAGACTAAGGGGAAGAACTGTAGAAACTGGCCCATCAGGGATTAAATCCCACACCATTCACCACCAGACCAACACAACACACACTGCTGTTTTCCTGCATCCACAGCAGGGATAGAAATGTAGCTAGCCCGAAGCTAGTACTTTTCAAACCGGGCTAGTAGAAAATGTGCCAAACTAGCCCGAGATGCAGGTGAAATTTAGTATTTTTCTTTATCGCATAGCCGATTTTGGACCCGGGCTAGCATACACTGGTGAAATTATCCCATAGCAGATTTTGGACCCGGGCTAGCATACACGGGTGAAATTATCCCACAGCAGATTTTGGACCCGGGCTAGCATACACGGGTGAAATTATCCCACAGCAGATTTTGGACCCGGGCTAGCATACACGGGTGAAATTATCCCATAGCAGATTTTGGACCTGGGCTCTTAGAAATGTGGTCTAATAGCCTGGCTGGCCAGTGAACAAAATCCTTCAATTCCATCCCCTGATCCACAGACATTTTACTTTGACATTGTAGTCATTTACATTTACATTTTAGTCATTTAGCAGACGCTCTTATCCAGAGCGACTTACAGGAGCAATTAGGGTTAAGTGCCTTGCTCAAGGGCACATTTACGTCATTTAGCAGACGCCCTTATCCAGAGCGACTCACAAATTGGTGCATTCACCCTATAGCCAGTGGGATAACCACTTTACAATTTTTTTTTGGGGGGGGGGTAGAAGGATTACTTTATCCTAGCGACTTACAGTTATAGTGCAATCATCTTAAGGTAGCTAGATAAGATAAGACAACCACATACCGGTCACAGTAAGTAAAACTTTGCTCACAACCATCTGAAGTGATGTGCTGAAAGCAAGACGCTCTCCTCTCCTCTCCTCTCCTCTCCTCTCCTCTCCTCTCCCTTTGACCATTCAACCTCTGACACACACCCTGCTGTTCTGATGCCTCCTCAGATGTGCTCTGACTGGCTAACAGCCCCTCTGAAGGGACAGGCTGAAAACAACAACCTCCTCTTCTCTCCCTTCCCTTCCCTTCCCTTCTCTTCTCTTCTACATTTACATTTTTAGTCATTCAGCAGACGCTCTTATCCAGAGCGACTTACAGTTAGTGAGTGCATACATTTTTTTCATACTGGTCCCCCCCCCCCGTGGGAAACGAACCCACAACCCTGGCGTTGCAAGCGCCATGCTCTACCAACTGAGCTACACGGGGCCCACCATACAGTTCATCACACCAATTGGGGGAAATGGCTTGGCACAATGTGCTTTTTACTCACGACGATCGACCTTAACCAAGGCCGCACAGATTTGTCTAGCTCTACCTCAAATGTAGCTAATACAACTAACCAGTAAGGTCTCCTACAGATCATTGAATCTGAGCAGTGCCTTGTTCATTTGGGTCAACCGTCATGGAACACTTCCATGATGTTCACCAGCTGGCAAAACTAGGCTATCCAAAGAGTCATATCACGGTCGGTGACATTAACCAACAACCTCTTAAGGAAACAACTAACAAAGGACACACTGAAATACATTGATGTGGCCCAAAATCACAGAGTCATGCTACAGTACAGCTAAAAAGTGCTATCAGACAACAGGTAGCTAAGCTTGACAAGCAACATTGCCCGAGATATAGTGCTAGCTATAGTGAAGTAGCTAGCTAGATCTCAAATCAGCCGCGTTTTGACCCTTGTTCTTTCTTTCTCTGCTAGCATCTCTTCCGGTTGTTTGGACGTCGTTTGATAGCTCCCATAACGTTACTAGTTACCTAGAATGATTATTTGCAGATAATGTTGTTAGCAAGGTAACGTTAATCAGCAAGGCAACCAGACAAAGAATGTCCGAACTCAATGTCGTGATCAACGCAACATTTATTTGTCGTTCAAATGTAACTCATTTAAAATCAACCAGTCAACTCATTCGATCAATTTGGTTAGTAATTGTTAACGTATTATTGTAAAACGATTTTTAGACAAAGCACAACTACGAAACATTCTTCTCCACTTCTCTGCTCTCCTCTCCTCTTCTCCACTTCTCTCCTCTCCACTTATCTCCTCCTCTCTACTTATCTCCTCCTCTCCACTTATCTCCTCCTCTCTACTTATCTCCTCCTCTGTTCTCCTCTCTTCCTCTCCTATCCTCTCTTCTCTCTCTACCTCTCCTCTTCTCTGCTCTCCTCTGTTCTCTACCTCTCCTCTTCTCTCTCTACCTCTTGTCCTCTCTCTCTCCTCTCCTCTCCTCTTTGGGGACTGGCTTGCAGAGCCAAGGTCGAGGGAGCCATATCCTTGCTGTACTTTAGATGCAGTAGTTAGCTGTTTTACTGTGGTGCAGACATTCAGTAGCCTTGGTATACCAGTAGGAGGCGGTGGTGAATGTACCTTCAGCATTCCTCCAGAGCAGAGGGAGTAGTACAGTACGGGACATTGCTTAATGCCTAGTAACATGTTCCAGCTCCAGTAGGAGGCGGTGGTGGTTAATGTGTCGTCAGGGAGATATTAGGGCTGCTATCTCTGCTCCTGCATCTCTCTCTCCTCCTCAAAGGGATGAGAGAGAGGGAGAGGAGAGAGAGGGAGGGGGGAGAGAGGGAGGGGGGAGAGGGAGGGGGAGAGGGAGGGGCGAGAGGGAGGGGAGGGGGAGGGGAGGGGAGAGAGGGAGGGCGGGGACGGAGAGCAGGGCAAGCGGGAGGGGAGAGAGGGCAGGGGGAGGGGGAGAGAGGCAGGGGAGGGGAGAGCGGGAGGGGAGGGAGGGGGGAGGGGCAGGGGGGGGGAGAGGGATGAGAGAGAAGGAGAGAGGGAGTGGGGAGAAGGAGGGGAGGGAGGGGGGAGAGGGAGGGGAGGCCTAGAGCCTGGGAACAGAGCCAGGAGCAATGAGATGCAGACCAGCTGAGGCTCTGGATCTGAGCTGAGTGTTAAACAGCCTGTCTAAAGCGGAGGCAGAGAGGGGAGGAGGGGGGGGGGGGGGAAGGGAGCGGGGGGGGGAACCCAGAACCCCTGCCACCCCTTCTGGAGATTGCAGATGGAGAGATCGATGGAATATGGGTGAAAGGGGGGAGGAAGGTCTGGAGAGAGAGGGAGAGGGAGAGAGAGAACAGATGGTTGTTGGTGTACCTTTGTCTATGGAGGCTCCGGCCATGTGATAGAAACTCAGAGCTGTGTCCACATCATTCACATTCTTTAGGAAGGTAAAGAAATTCTCCACCTCCTCAAACGTAATGCCCTACAGAGAGAGAGAGAGAGAGGAGAGAGACGCGAGAGCGGAGCGAGGCGAGACGCGAGAGCGAGAGGAGGAGAGCGAGGAGCGAGAGCGAGAGAGCGAAGAGCGAGGAGAGCGAGAGAGAGCGAGAGAGAGCGAGAGAGAGAGAGAGAGAGAGAGAGAGAGAGAGAGAGAAGGATAAAGCAAACCACAAATTCCAATTGGCTATACTTAAACTGTTTAACATCATCCTCAGCTCTGGCATGTTCCTCAACATTTGGAACCAAGGACTGATCCCCCCAATCCACAACAGTGGAGTCTGCGTCAACAGAAATCTCTGAAAAATCCTTTTCAATATCATCAACAGCAGACTCCAACATTTCCTCAGTGAAAACAACGTACTGAGCAAATGTCAAATTGGCTTCTTACCAAATTACCGTACGACAGACCACGTATTCACCCTGCACACCCTAATTGACAAACAAACAAAACGAAAGCAAAGTCTTCTCATGCTTTGTTGATTTCAAAAAAGCTTTTGACTCAGTTTCGCAAGAGGGTCTGCTATACAAATTGATGGAAAGTGGTGTTGGGAGAAAAACATACGACATTATAAAATCCATGTACACAAACAACAAGTGTGATGTTAAAATTGGCCAAAAACATACACATTTCTTTCCACAGGGCTGTGAGGTGAGACAGGGATGCAGTTTAAGCCCCACCCTCTTCAACATATATATAAATGAATTGGCAAGGGCACTAGAACAGTCTGCAGCACCTGGCCTCACCCTACTTGAATCTGAAGTCAAATGTCTACTGTTTGCTGATGATCTGGTGCTTCTGTCCCCAACCAAGGAGGGCCTACAGCAGCACCTACAGTGAGGGAAAAAAGTATTTGATCCCCTGCTGATTTTGTACATTTGCCCACTGACAAAGAAATTATCAGTCTATAATTTTAATGGTAGGTTTATTTGAACAGTGAGATACAGAATAACAAATCAGAAAGATGTATGGCTCCCAGGTGTCTTTTATACAGGTAACGAGCTGAGATTAGGAGCACACACTTAAAGGGAGTGCTCCTAATCTCAGTTTGGTGAGAAGGTGACAACAGTTGGTGCAATTATTCGCAAATAGAAGAAACACAAAATAACTGTCAATCTCCCTCGGCCTGGGGCTCCATACAAGATCTCACCTCGAGGAGTTGCAATGATCATGAGAACAGTGAGGAATCAGCCCAGAACTACACGGGAGGATCTTGTCAATGATCTCAAGGCAGCTGGGACCATAGTCACCAAGAAAACAATTGGTAACACACTACGCCGTGAAGGACTGAAATCCTGCAGCACCCGCAAGGTCCCCCTGCTCAAGAAAGCACATATACAGGCCCATCTGAATGATTCACAGGAGAACTGGGTGAAAGTGTTGTGGTCAGATGAGACCAAAATCGAGCTCTTTGGCATCAACTCAACTCGGCGTGTTTGGAGGAGGAGTAATGCTGCCTATGACCCCAAGAACACCATCCCCACCGTCAAACATGGAGGTGGAAACATTATGCTTTGGGGGTGTTTTTCTGCTAAGGGGACAGGACAACTTCACCGCATCAAAGGGACGATGGACGGGGCCATGTACCGTCAAATCTTGGGTGAGAACCTCCTTCCCTCAGCCAGGGCATTGAAAATGGGTCGTGGATGGGTATTCCAGCATGACAGTGACCCAAAACACACAGCCAAGGCAACAAAGGAGTGGCTCAAGAAGAAGCACATTAAGGTCCTGGACTGGCCTTAATCCCATAGAAAATCTGTGGAGGGAGCTGAAGGTTCGAGTTGCCAAACGTCAGGCTCGAAACCTTAATGACTTGGAGAAGATCTGCAAAGAGGAGTGGGACAAAATCCCTCCTGAGATGTGTGCAAACCTGGTGGCCAACTACAAGAAACGTCTGACCTCTGTGATTGCCAACAAGGGTTTTTCCACCAAGTACTAAGTCATGTTTTGCAGAGGGGTCAAATACTTATTTTCCTCATTAAAATGCAAATCAATGTATAACATTTTTGACATGCGCTTTTCTGGATTTTTTTGTTGTTATTCTGTCTCTCACTGTTCAAATAAACCTACCATCAAAATTATAGACTGATCATGTCTTTGTCAGTGGGCAAACGTACAAAATCAGCAGGGGATCAAATACTTTTTTCCCTCACTGTAGAACTTCTGCACAAATTCTGTCAGACATGGGCCCTGACAGTAAATATCAGTAAGACAAAATAATGGTGTTCCAAAAAAGGTCCAGTAGCCAAGACAACAAATACAAATTCTATCTAGACACCATTGTCCTAGAACACACACAAACCTATACCTACCTCGGTCTATACACATCAACACCACATGTAACTTCCACAAGGCTGTGAACGATCTAAGAGACAAGAAGGGCCTTCTATGCCATCAAAGCTCGACACCTTAATTAGGATCTGACAAAAAATACTTGAATCAGTTATTGAACCCAACCAAGAATTCACAAAATGTGAAAAAAATATACTTTGTGCAATGCAAAACCCCAAACAATGCATGCAGAGCAGAATTAGGACTATACCCACTAGTTATCAAAATCCAGGAAAGAGCTGTAAAATTCTACAACTACCTAAAAGGAAGTGATGTCCACACATTCCACCACAAAGCACTCAGCTATGGAGAGATGAACCTAGAGAAGAGTTCCCTCAGCCAGCTGGTTCTGGGGCTCTGTTCACAAACACAAACAGACCCCACAGAGCTCCAGGACAGCAACTCAATTAGACCCAAACCAAATTATGAGAAAGCAAAAAGATAACTTTTTGACACACTGGAACAAATCAACCATAAAAACTGAGCAAATAGGAATGCTATCTGGCCTGAAACAGAGAGTACACAGTGGCAGAATACCTGACCACTGTGACTGACCCTAAATTAATGAAATCGTTGACTATGTACAGACTCAGTGAGCATAGCCTTGCTATTGAGAAAGGTCGCCGTAGGCAGACCTGGCTCTCAAGAGAAGACAGGCTATGTGCACACTGCCCACAAAATGAGGTGGAAACTGAGCTGCACTTCCTAACCTCCTGCCAAATGTATGACCACATTAGAGACACATATTTCCCACAGATCACACAGACCCATAAAGAATTGGAAAAGGGCAACCAGTGGAGCACAAACCAATATTTATCTGTTGAATTATCTTCACGCACTGAGCAGGTACCTGCACCACCACCAAATGAAACGGTGAGACAGGAGAGAGGGGAAGGGACACCACTCTAGAGGCACAGATGTTCTGGTGTTAATAATAATTCTGCTTCAAAGGATTTTATTGTTGTGAAACTCAGTTAAACATTATCATGACAAAAGACCGATTACACACACACAAACTTTTAGGAATAGTTGATTTGCTCAAGCTGTGGAAATGCTGGATGCAAGGATAAGGTGAGACTGATTACACACACAGCTCTGATTACGCTCCTATAGTTAGGAGACAGTTATACTCAACAGTGTGACACAGACACAGTGAGGGGGTAGCACGACAAGGGAAGCAAGCGTCACACCCCCGTACACACACACAAACAAACTGCTGAATGAGCTGACAGCAGAGAGAGGAGCAGCTGGCTGTATGAATTGAATAATACTCCCACTCCATTTACCTTGCAGAGAGAGGGAGAGAGAAGGCGAGAGGGAGGGAGAGAGCAGGCGCAGAGGGAGAGGGAGAGAGGAAGGCCGATGAGGGAGGCGAGCGAAGGAGGGAGGGAGGGAGAGAGAAGGAGAGAGGGAGGGAGAGAGAAGGCGAGAGGGGGAGGGGAGCGGCAAGGAGAGAGGGCGGGAGAGAGAAGAGAGAAGGCGAGGCGGGCGGAGAGAGAGGGAGAGAGCGACGGCGAGAGGGAGGGGAGGAGAGAGAAGGCGAGAGAGAAGGAGGATGAGGAAGGAGGGACGAGAGAAGGCGATGGCGAGAGGGAGGGAAGGACGGGGAGAGAGGGAAGGCTGACGAGAAGGCAGGTTGAGAGAAGGAAGAGAGGAGGGGAGAGAAGGGAGAGAGGGAGGGAGAGGAGAGGCGAGAGGGCGGGAGGAGGAGAAGAGAGAGGAAGGGATGGAGGAGCTGAGAAGGAGAGAGGATGGAGGAGGGGAGCGAGAGAGTAGGGAGAGATGGGGCGAGAGGGAGGGAGCAGAGAGAGGGAGGAGAGAGAGG